ACAGACAGAAGGACAAACAGACTTTGATTCTGGTTCATCCACTTACAAACCAGACAGACAGACAGACAGACAGACAGACAGACAGACAGACAGACAGACAGACAGACAGACAAGGAGACAGACAGACAGACAAACAGATTAGGAGACAGACAGACAGATTAGGACACAGACAGACAGATAGACAGACCGACAGACAGACAGATTAGGAGACAGACAGAGAGACAGACAGATTAGGAGACACTGACAGACATACAGACAAACGGACAGACAAACACACACACACACACAGACAAACATACGGATAGACAGACTTTGATTCTGGTTCATCCACTTACAGACCAGACAAACAGACACACAGACAGACAGACACACAGACAGACAGACACACAGACAGACACACAGACAGACAGACAGACAGACAGACAAACAAACAAAGACACAGAAAGAAAGAAAGAAAAAAAGAAAGAAAGAAAGAAAGAAAGAAAGAAAGAAAGAAAGAGAAAGAAAGATGGAAAGAAAGAAGGAAAGAAAGAAGGAAAGAAAAAAAGAAAAGAAAGAAAAACAGAAAGAAACATGTTAGACAAAGAAAGAAAGACACAGACTTACAGACCAGACAGACACACACACACACACACACAGACAGACGGACGGACAGACTTTGATTCTGGTTCATCCACTTACAGACCAGACAGATAGACACACAGACAAACACACAGACAGACAGACAGACAGACAAACAAACAAAAACACAGAAAGAAAGAAAGAAAGAAAGAAAGAAAGAAAGAAAGAAAGAGAAAGAAAAAAAAAAAGAAGGAAAGAAAGAAGAAAAAAAAAAAAAAAAAAAAAAAAAAAAAAAAAAAAAAACCATGTTAGACAAAGAAAGAAAGAAAGAACGAAAGAAACAAAGAAAGAAAGAGACAGACAGACAATCAGATAGACAGATAGACAGACAGATTAGGAGACAGTCAGACAGACGGACAGACAGACACACACACACACACACAGACATGTTGGACCATCAGACAACCTTTCATTCTGGTTTATCCACTTACAAACCAGACAGACAGACAGACAGACAGACAGACAAACAGACGGACAGGCAGACAAACAGACAGACAGACAGACAAACAGACGGAGAGACATACAGACAAACAGACTGACTCGCTGACTGACTGAATGACCAGACAAGGCGATAAACAGACAAACTGACAAACATACAGACGGACAGACAGACATACAAACCAGAGCAGACCGACAGACAGATGGACAGACAAACAGACAGACACAATAGACGAAGCAAACAGACCACATAACTGTTTTGTGTTGTCCATGCATATCTTTGACCTATGCAGGATTTCTTCCTACGGTAGAGATTCGTCAATGCAACATAGATGATGTTCAACCATTCAACATTATTATTGTTCTTTCTTGTTTGAATAAGAGGGGAGGAAGCAGGATTCAGAATGACCTTTTTTTTTCTCTCTCTCCCCTCATGTTTAAACATTTCTTTTTGCAATTAGACGCCATTGAACTTTCTGTCGAGTCGTGACAACACGAAATTGGTTAGGACCGCAACACAGAACAGACAGGCACACAGAAGGTGGGAAAGAGAGAAGCACGTGCACACGTGGAAGAGGGAGAAGAGGGGTTGATGCTAACAAACCAAGCATATAAATTACAGGTTACTGGATGAAAGAATGTAGAGCCAGAGAAAGGAAACAGCAAACACACTTAGTGTGCACTCACATACGGATACTGTGATGGTTTGCGCACATGTCCACAACAACAGAACAGATGTGCCGGACCCGCCGGGATGGCGGTCCGTTAGGATGGAGACGAAGAAGGAGGTAGAGATGGAGCTGGAGGGGACAGCGCAGCTCCGACGCAGACTCCACACGCAAGTACTCCAAGATCTGCGAAAGTGAAGAATGACGAAAAACAGACTGCAGCTGGGGTAT